CCTCCCCTCCCCTTCCCCTCCCCGCGCCTCAGCGGCTCTGCCCGGTGCGTGCGGTCCCGCTCCCCCGGACGGCAGCGCAGCGCCCGCGCCCCGTCGGGCAGCGGGCGGSCGGCGGGGCTGAAGCGGCCGCTCCGCTCCGTGCCCAGCCGTGCCCCCTGCCCTCGCCATGCCCAGAGCCTTCCTGGTGAAGCGCCGGAGCCCGCAGCCGGCGGTGCGCAGCTGGGATGGGCTGCCCGACGAGGAGAGAGCCGACACCTACATCCCAGGTACGGCGCCGACCGCCGCCCCACGCCCGGCGCCGCCGGGACGGACCGAGGGAGCGGGGTCCCTGCGCTCCGGGGAGGGGGCGAGTGGGGAGGGGGCTTTGCCGGGCCGGGGGAGCCCCGAGGGGGCGGGCGGGACGCGGCGGGTCACAGAAGGCCGTGCTTAAACGCGGTGGAAGGGACACGGACGGCACCGGGGGGAAAGCGGCCGGGCAGCGGCAGGAGTGCCAGCCCCGCCGGGCCGRGCCGCCCCCATGCCTGGCAGAGTCTCCCACCTCGGGGAGCCCCCGGGTACGGCGGGGAGGGGAGCTGGGGGGGAATGTGTGTGCGTGTGTGTCCGGGAAGGTGGGAAACCTCGTTTGCATGAGAAAGGTGGCTGGGGGAGGAGAAGGAAGGACCCGGGGGGGGTGATGTACTCCTGGCCTCCCCCTCTCCTCCTCCTCCCGCTCCTCCTGCCCTTGCCCGGGGTATAACGGGAAGGCGGCGGAGCTGGCTTGTTTGAACTTTGGGACCGTTCGTGTTTGAGTTTCCGATTGCAGCGTGAGCCGGGGATCCTCCCCCGCCGCCAGCGGCCGGCCCGCCCGCAGGTTAAACACCGGGGCCCGCCGGCTGCCGCCCGCCGCCTCCCTCCCCGGCCCTGCCCGCGGCTCCGGGGTCCCCCCGCTTTATCGCATCCCCACCCCGTTGCAGGCGCGATCGGCTGCGTGCTGCTGGGCTACGAAGACAGCTGCAGCCTGGAGAGCAGCGGCAGCAGCGGGACCCGGGACGCCGAGCCCAGCGAYCCCCCGACGCCGCAGCCTGCCCCCGGCGAGCTGGGCACGGCCGGGGGGATGCTGCTGGACCTGGCCGTCAAGCGCCCCATGGTCAGGTCAAAAATCAAGGTAACCGCCCGCACCCCGATCGTCTCTTGTGTGGCAATGGGGTGACCCCAGCTCAAGGTCAAGGCCTGAGTGCTGCTCGGGGACACGAGGTGACAAYARTCCCCTGGGCTCTCTTTGCTAGYRRTGGCAGCACCTGTCCKRCACACCGAGGGCCTGCGGGAGCCGYYGGCCGTAGGATGGCAGGGCAAGSCTCGTAAGCGATGTGCCATAATCTTCCAGTGCCCTTTGCCTTCTCTTATCCTTGCCTGGGACGTGCTGCCCCTGACCTGCTTGGCTCGGGTCCCGCAGGAGCTCTGAACCCAGCCAGGAAGGACCAGCCCTGGCAGCTAGGAGTCATGCCCCACGGTGCGTGGGTGGATCTTGTTCCTCAGCGTGGGGCCTCCGTAAAAGCTGCCTTCTAGGTGGCAGACAAGCCTTCACCGAGAGGGGCTGGGGTGAATCTTCACGCTGCCCCCTTCCCACCTTAGACCGGTCAAGAAAGCAGATGGTTAAAAGTTCTCCTCCATGGSTGTGAAAGACCATTGCCACTTTGAGTCGACCTGCGGGCTTGGTTGAAATGAAGCAATTATCTGGCTCTGGAAGAGCCTCTCTGCTGCGAGGGCAGGAGCTCGGGCTGTCTGGGTGTTCCCTGGGCAGAACCAGCAGAGCAGAGCAGCRATTTCCCTCCCAAGGCTCGGAGGGCAAATCGTCCCCGTGGTACCTGAGAACTCGAACGAGTTCCCAAACAGCGGCGCTTCTCTCTCTGAACATCCAGGGTCCCTTCGGCAGAGGTGGAGCCAGGCCACCCCGGTGCTAGGCAGGAGATGTGTTTACCCCTGGTAGTTAACACCTCGTTAAACCCTGGCTGATGCTTTGGGGATGGAGCTGTAAAAATGACCATTGTCTGCGCCGGGCTGACAGCCTTCCAGTCACCGCGCTCTTCAGTCTCATGATTAGGTTTCACCCTGGTTCTATGCAGCTGCTCGAGGAGGAGTCATACCCCTGATTGCCCAACAGATTCTTCKCAGATGGCTCCCCCTCTAGTTTCACACCTCGTGGTTTCACAGCTGCCGTTTTCTTTTATCTTTCTTTACAATTTCGAGCAGCGTTGCTTCGATAGTAAGCGAAGGAGGAGCAGCGGGAAAAATAACTGGCTCTTCYGGAAAAAGAAACGCCAGATTTATCCCTGTCTTTGTGAAGAGCCCGCCCTGCTGCTGTTTGACATTAACCTACTTTGTATAATTTAACCTGGGCTGTTAGTGACGGTCACAGCAAAACCACGTTTCAGCAGAGTTGTTTTTTATTTTTTTAGCCAATGGATGTGGTCCTGCCTGCTCTGCTGGCTTCCCCTCATCCCGGGTGTCTGTCAGGGAGAGTGTCCCTGTGCTCCACCAGGAATCATTAAACCAGCAGCAGAGTATTTACATTTTCCAGACTTTTAGCTTTCCCTCTGAGGAATGATCTTCCCAGGAACTGAATCATCAGTGCCTTCTTTAGTCAAGTTATGTCATGGTGTTGGCACAATGCTTTCGGTGCTAGGAGTGGGAACGAGATTACCCCCTAATGTCACTCTGCTGTTAATTAACGAGCCCGGGACACCGACGGGGGGAGATTAGAGCCATTGTTTCAGTCTCTTCTGACTGAGCACACCGTCCTTTGGGTTTATCTCTCCAAACCCACCTTTTTTTTTTAATCGCTGCTGGCTGGGTTTTGAGGGACCTGGAGCAGCTGGAGGTGTGACTAGTGAAGGCACAACTCTCCCACTGGAGAGGACTTTCCTTCTCCATAAAAATGCTCACAGCCTAAGCCCTGGCGTTCATGGATGTAGCTGGACAAAGGTTGCTGCCCCTGCAAGGAATCCACTGCCCAGAGTTCGTTTTAAGCCCTGAATCCAGGCTGGCCAGGGAGGCATCAGTCCCAAATCTGCACATTAAGTCCCTCGCTCGATTGCAAGAACATCACGAAGGTTTCACCCCACAGGAGTCCCCTAAACGCTTTCACTTTTCATTTCTGATACATCCCAAGATTCCTTTGAATGCCACAATAAGCCCTGCCTGCTTTGCTTTTATTTCTTCTGTTCACCCCAACGCTCACCCGGTCCTCTCCCACTCCCCAGTTCACCACGGGCACCTGCAACGACGCCGCCCTGCATAGCTGCGAGCTGTGTGGCAAAGGCTTTCGCCTGCAGAGGATGCTCAACCGACACATCAAGTGCCACAGCCAGGTGAAGAGACACTTGTGCACCTTCTGTGGAAAAGGCTTCAACGACACCTTTGATCTGAAAAGGCATGTCCGGACCCATACTGGTGAGCATGAGTTCCCTGGGGACCCGCGGGAGGTGCCGGGGAGAAGGGGTGGGATGGAACGAGGACGAGAAGAGGGTGGGGGTAACCCGGCAAGACCCTAAAACAAATCCCAGGTTAACAATATTTACAAAAAAAAAAAAAATTTGTGGGGATGCAGTGGAGGAAAGCAGAAGGCATGAGTGTGGTCAGGGAAAAGTCCTGGAAATGATGAAATCTGAGAACTAAGGCAGTGAGGATGCAGGACCTGCCATCCAGACCCGCCTGGGACAATGATCCTGGAATAACACACCYGGGATAACCCATCTGGGATAACCCCCCGGGATACCAAATCACTGCAATTATCGGTATCTAGCGCTGAGTGGAGGCAGGAGCTGGATGAAAACGCTTTGCCCTCTAGAGGCGATGAGCAGCAGTTTCTGGGTTTTTTCCCGGCTGACCGTTGTGCAGGATGGGGTTATGGTTTGATTTTGGCACTGTCTGGAGAACGCAGAGTGTGGTTCGTGCTGTGTCTTCCCCAGGTTGGAGGGATGAGCTTTCTGTGGTCGCTCACTCTCTGAGTTCATCCCAAACAGCAGTGGCTGTGCTCCTTTGAACTGGATCCACTGCCTCAAATCCAGCCCACTGTTCCAAGAAATTCTTAGCCCAGTCTGGAGCAGGGAGAAGGCTGCCCTTTTGTTTGTTTTGTTGTTTTTTTCTTTTTATTTTTTTTTCCTTGGTGGAAGCAATGGCTTAAGGAAATATCAACCCTGTCCTCACTGAGGGCAATATTTTCTGGTAGGTTGAGCCGGCTGTGCCCTCTTGGGCACCCAGAAGTTGCACCCAACACATCTCACAGGCACATCACATCTTTCCAGGTGTGTGGCTGCCTAAAGGGAGCTGGAGGCTATTTGGGCTTGCTCTGCAGAGCCCCTTTTTTGGTTTAGGCACCATTAAGCAGGTAAACGGCTAGATTAGGACACAAGGATGTCGGTAGGCAGGATCTGTTTCTTAGTATCAGAGCTCACAAAAACAATGTCACCCATTTGGATGGGAAAGCATTGGCTGGAACCAATGTTTTGTGCTGTTTGGGATTGTTTTCAAAGCTTTCAYGTGGAAAGGAAAGCTGCTGGCTGTGAGCAGGGAGCTGCCCCTGGGGTATGGCTGGAGTGTGGAGTCAGTGCCTTCAAAAGAAGAGATTTTTCAACCTGTGCCCTCATCAGAGTCAGAAACTGAATCCAAGAGGGTCTCTGGCCAGAATAATTTAAAATGATTCCTAAAGGATTTAAAATGATTCCTAAGTGATGAGAGGTTCCCCCAGCAAAGAAAGGCTGTGCCATCCTGGCATCATCCTTTCTTTGCTTGTATTCCTGCACCAAGGATGGTGAAGGTTTAAATTGCCTTCAAATGAGCATGAAACTGCTTACTGTGTGTGCTTACATTCTAATGAAGGTTTGGACTTTCTCCCCAACTGCAGTTTAATGGAAATGAAGCAATTTCACAGCAGCAGGCATTAGGAAACTTTTGTCTTGATAGTTTAATCTGGTGCACTGAGATAACCTCTTTTAACTTACAAAAATGCAGTTGAGATGCTGCTTATTGGAACTTACCTAATTAGCTTGGATTTCTGGTAGAAAGATCAGCTCCTGACTGGTAACTTAAAGCAATCACAAAGTTACAACTCTCAAAACAGACCAATTTGGTTTCCCCGTTTCTGCCTTGCTCACCATAGATGTGATCTTGCAGACCCTGGCATTYCACCTTCCCTGGGGAAAAGAGGGGATTAGGCAACCTGTTATGTCAGCTTTAAGGGTGATCTTTGCTTGAAAWCTTACTCATCTAGTCTAGTAAGTAGAATTCCAGCTGGTTTAGGTTCTCTTAAGCGTTGCTACACCMTCAGCTATTTTAGCACTGAGAGGGGGGTGTTGTTAAATCAGTGTTGATTGGTGGTAAAATTGTTTTTTGTGATGTTGGTTGTCTGGACATTCAAAGCACAAGTCAGTTCTTTCTCCCTCCTCTGGAGACAGAGTTATTTCTTTCATCTCACTGCATTTCTCTTCTAAAATTTGTAATCTCAGTCATGAAATCTGTATTGTATGAAAGTGTTCTCGCTCCTTTGAAGCACTGGAATCTTTGGACATTCACATTCCAGTGCTGCTCACCAAAGCCTCATTAAGCTTTTCTCACTAAGAGAGAAAAATTAAAATCTTAACAAGGTAGAAGTTTTCATTCATTATGAAAGCCAAAATGACAGATTAGCTGAAACAGATAATTTTCCCTAGTCACAGAATTTCAAAGGGGGTCTAAAGTAAGTTTTGCAGGAGTTGACAGTGGCTTCCTTAGAACCGAACCACCGATGGGCACCTGTTATCCTCAGTCTGCCYGCACCTTCTCAAAACATTCCTAGGTTTTCTACGCCTAAAAATGTCAACCCATTCCTAAAATCTTGACCTGAAAATAGGATGTTCTGCTCAGAGAGCCTGTTCCCTGGGCTGCTAGATACCTCCTCAGCAGCTGGAGTAGGAGCCTTGCTGCAAGCTCAGGGTGGTAACCGCTGCCTTTTCCCTTTGCAGGGATTCGCCCTTACAAATGTGAGGTTTGCAACAAGGCCTTCACGCAGCGCTGCTCGCTGGAGTCGCACCTGAAGAAGATCCACGGCGTGCAGCAGCAGTAYGCCTACAAGCAGAGGAGGGACAAGCTGTACGTGTGCGAGGACTGCGGCTACACVGGCCCCACGCAGGAGGATCTGTACCTGCACGTCAGCGGCGTCCACCCCGGCAGTGCCTTCCTGAAGAAAACCTCCAAAAAACTCGCGGCCGTCCTGCAAACCAAACTGAGCCCTGTCCTGCAGAGGAACTCCACAGAGGACGGCAAGGACGAGTGACACGGGGGGCGAGCGGCACTCTGCAGGAATGAAGTTTACATGTAGGACTACGTATTTTATTTTTTTAAGAACAATTTTTGAAAGAAACACCTGATGCATTTGTTAACGGGACTCTCTCGGTGTTGGTAAAACCTCAAGTTGACAGGAATATTCCATTTGTGGTGGAAACATCAGACTTTTTTTTTTTTTTAACTGGCCAATAAAAACGGGACATTTTCAAAGGCTGTCACCTCTCAGATGGAGTATTTACTGAACTGACATTTGGGCAATTTGTTTTCTGTTTCAGCTCTGCCATGGATCTGACCAGCATGACAACAAGCTCACCTTTCCCCAGTGTGTTTTGTAAAGTTAATAACTGTTGCCTCCCATGAAAAATTACTTTTGAGAGGTTTGGGTGAAAAGTGTTGGGTAAGAGCACTCCCAGTGCAAGGTTCTATGCAATTAAAGTGCCTTAAGAACAGGAGTCATTGCATCAGCAAATGAGTTAAAATGTGCCAATACACTTAACTCTGCCCTCTGTGCAGGCTGCTAACAATTTATGGAAGTCTGATCCAAGGAGAGTTGAAACTTCTCAAAGGATGCAGAACTTCCCAAAGTTTCTCTGCTAGCAAATGACATTATTCCAGGGCAGACTTTTGGTTGTGTTTTAGGTACCAGAAGCCATGAACTTACTTTTATCATGTGTAGATGAAAGTGAAACTTTAACTCTGATGYTCCTGGACTTGTCATGCTCACTTTGAGGGTTATTACCACATCCTTTTAAATACATCACTATCAACCCAGAAACCCAAAGAAAGCACTGTAATGACTTGAAAAAAAAAAGTATTTTCTATCATGATGAAATGCATTTGTGCATATTTTACAATGTGTGTGTGTGTTTGGGTTTTTTTCCTCTTATAATCAGGTTTATTWATACAATGCAGTGAAAAGGGGGACTGAGCCTGTGTCTGCTTCAGGAGATCAGTGCAAACCTGCAGGCACCAATCAGGTTGCTCATCTGTGACCACCGTCATTTGAAAATGCTCCTCCCACCTAAAATACCGAGTCAGGCAGGGCCAGGATATTCACAGTCATTGCTGCTAAAATGAGAGATTTTGGGCAACCTTGCAAGAATAGTCAAAAAGCTTTTCAATTCGCTTTAGTTTCGTACAGGCACCTGCTTGGGTTTTTGTGGGGGAAATCTTCCCCACCCACAAAAGGGGTTTTAAAGCATTTCCTAAGGATATTAATACTTTATTCAGCACAACTGTTGGTGCTTGGGACCTTGAAAATGAGGATAATAAAGTGATGCCACTGTGYTAAGAACAAACTTATCCTGTGTAGCAGGAAAGTTTGTAGAATACCTTAATAAATAGGAAGTTGCTGGGGGAAAAAAAAAAAAAACCACCTAACCTAAATCAGAAGATCCTGACTTTGCAAAAAGGGCTAAAGCTTGTGCATTGATCCCCAAGTGTTACAACTGAACAGTGTAAAGGGAAGGTTGCTCAYTCTGCAATGGGATTAATGGTCACCTGACTGTATGGGATTTATGTGTTCAGCTCAGCTGAAACCTCAGTCCTTCCCCTGGCACAGCAGAGCTGTGGCTCCAACCCTTCCTCTCCAGCTAGAGACACATTTGGTGAGTGTACCTGTGTGCATGGGGCAGTTTTTTATCCCTCCTGCACCACATGTTGCTTTTGCTGTCCCTCCAGTGTCACTGCTGCAGCACATCCCTGCTGAGAGAACCAGAAAGGATTAATAACAAAAGAGAAACAAACAGGCAACAGGGCACAGTGAAAAACCCACTCTGGATGGAGAGCAAAGCTCTGGGAAGCTGGATGTTGAAGTCCTGCCCAGCAGGTTTCTGTGCAGAGGACAGTGCCTGGAGCAGTGCCCTGGGCACATCAGTTTAACAGTCTGGCAACTTAATTGGAACTGGTCACAAAGCGTGTTTGGGTTCCTGTGACACTGGTGACAGCCCCCTGCCAGTCCTGTTACAGGACAAACCAGCTTGTGCTGCTCCAGAAATGCYCCAGAGCTCAGCCAGGGATGCCCAGGCTTTCAGAAGTGCCAGACACGAGTGACTCCAAGCACTGCTGTCCTTGAAAGCTGTGTGCCTCCTTCTGGCACTCTGAGGTACAGACTCAGCCAAGACAGGTTTACAAACTGCTGGCAGCCTGCCAGCAAAGGATCTTTGCTAAACAGGTAGAATTTCTGACCACATGTGATGTATCTTAACCAGTGTCATCTCTGAACCCAGCTTTTCACTGCCCATGGTTTGTCTTTTTAGAAATCTAATTAAGCAGAGTTACCTTTCCACTAGGCCGGGTTTGAATAAGCAAGTACCACTATAATTCAGTTTCACTGCACACATTTCCACAGTTCAGTACTCTGGAGGCACAAGATAAGCAGAACAGAGGTTTAATTCTCTGGTTTTTTAGCTATGGTTCTGGCTGATTTTATTGAAGCTTAGGRGTTGGTCATAATTTTTTTTGTAAGGTGCAGTGGCATTGTGAAAACCCATACACACAATTCGGAGAAAACGAAGAGAAGGAGRAAAAAAGCTTTCCAGAGTAACAGTGCCTGACATCTCTGTTTTACAGACTTGATTTTATRTGATTCAAAGGTAAAAGTTCTGTTTCAAAACATTAATTCACAAACTTACTTGGGGGGGAAAAAAAAATCCCAAACACAAACCCGTAAAAAACGGCCCCCAAAACCCAACCAGCAGTTCTTCACTCCTCAGAAGGTCTAACTTCAGCACAAATAACAACAAACCTCATGACAACATGAGCCAGAACTGACTGAAACCCAGTCTACTACATCAATTTCTTTATCATTTGCATTTCTCTCAGCTCATACATTGCAGATGTTCTTTTGCTTTACTTCACCAACTTCATTTTCAAAGACTCAACTCTGCAACTGAGAATTGAGATCTTTTTCCTCAAAAATCACCGAAGAATGACTTGATTGAGCATTTTTTCTTGATAATAGAAACTCTTCTATCAACCTCAGGCTGTATAAACTATGTGGGATAAGAAAACAGAGGCTAARTAAGTCAGCTTTGTTCTGCCTGAACCACTGAGGTCACCTACAACATAAACAGATATTCCCCACTGGAAAATTACTTGTCTWTTTGGAAGGGGAGGGAGGGGAACCCTGCTAGTAAAAAATTAACCGAAGTTACTCAAAAAAGAATATGAAAGAGGCATATTTAAACRAAAGTTCTTGCTTTGTCTCTGTGCTCAGACCACTTGCTTGTGCTCAGTGTGGGTCAGTTTTTTCCAAGTACTCCTCCAGGCGCAAGAGCCACTTATTCCAGTAYTGGGAGCACAGGTCAGGATTCATGAAATGAGGGTGTGCAGGAGAGCCRTTCTTGTAGGCAACCACGATGAGCCCACAGCGAACCTGCAGCAAAAACAGGGGGGCTGTCAGAAATCCAACATCTGTAACATCTGTATGCAACCCTAAGAGCTACACCTCGCTGCAAAACATCATCCTAACATATATGCATCTTACATAAGAAATGGGGAATTTAAAAAGAGCAATAACTTGTTCTAAGATATGTGGAGACTTAACATTCAAATGTTCAAAAAACTCCAWGCAACTTCAGTGAAAAGCAGGGGACATGAACTCTGAGGATGAGTGATATTTAAGCCCTGCAGATGGCAGAAAAATTGCCAGACTGAGGAGGCTTTGCCTGGGGCCCTAAAACCAGACTGAGGCTGCTCTCCAGTTTCAGTCTGAATAGAAATGGTTACTTAGGTATGTTCTGACATCTTTCATACTGACAAATCCCAAATCCCAAAACCCAAACAGCCACTGACAGTTGGGGGCAGGAGAATTCTGCTACTCTAACAGCAGAATTTCAGAATTCTTGCCCATATTTCACTCTGTGAGGATCATGTCTGTGGAGTGCYTGTGTTTACTGATCTTGCCAGTRCTCTAGAAAGTTGAAYTAACCTGCTCTYTTCTGCTTCATATTTTYTCCCTTCAACATKYATAYTGAAGAAATAATCCTTCAGGCCAARCAGGCAGGCTAGAATTGCTYTTGGAATCTTWAAAAACATTATGYCACTGTCTCCTGAAAAGKTGATTCACAACACACTGCTTTCCCCCGAGGAAACAGAACAGCTTCCAGACACCCAATGCATCCTTTAGTGCCCCATTTCCTAGTGGGATACAGCAACACAGGATGCAGGCAAGGCCCTCCCACACCATTTTCTTGCTTGCAGGCTCTTTTGCTTTATTTCTTCTCATGCCCCTTCCTACTCTTGACACAGGTAGAAATCCCACAGGACAGAGCACAGGGGATTGCCCTTTGTGTCGAGTCCCTGTGAGTTCATTTGACCTCCTAAGACTCTGAGCATCCCTTGGTCCCTCCAAGCAGTTCCTAAAAACCACTGAAAATTCACTACTGGCAGCCAAGGGCAGCAGGATTAACAGGAGCACTGGAATTATTTCACAGTATGCCAGCTCAACCTGATCTCAGACTGGGTTCCTTTGTTTACAAATYCTGTGATGGACAGCAGGTTCTAAAGGCAGGAGGCAGGGAGAAAGGAAGATAACACAGGCACTGCTGCTTGTCTTGGCATGCAGCAGGCCTACTGACCTGGAAGTCATAACTGGCATCATGATTTATAGCTCCAATGTATGCTGCAACCTGCAGTGGGTTGTCRTAAGTATTCTGCAGCAGTGGCTTTGGCTTTTCTGAAGTTTTCCAGTCGATCGCACACAATTGGCCCCTGCAGGGGAGAAGAAGACAGGACAATGCTTTAGACTTCAGTTTGGTCACAAGAAAGAAATAAGGGATGAGACAGCACATAAGACTTATCACTCTCAGCCTGTTTTACCGTGATGATGCTCATTATTATGTCTGAACAAGTCTCTTTCACACTGGCAGTTTAGATCCCAAACACCAAAGCTCACTAAACCTGACACAGTTCCTGGAAAGTGCTGATGGTTTGCTTAACCCTGCCTCTGCTCCAGTAAGGAACTCTCCACCAGGAAATACAGCACTTCTGTCATCAGGATCACCCAGGGCTGCTCCTCCACTTTGCCATTCTTAGAGATCTGTCCAGCTTCCCCCCAGCCACTCAATCACACCCCAGCCTCCACAGGAGCCCGAGGGGAGGGCACCTCACCGATATTTGGCCACGCAGTCAACCAGGCCCCGGTACTGCAGGGTCTCRTGGTGAACTCCACTTTCCAGAGCCTTCACCTCGCTGATGTCTTCCAAGACATGTTCCACACTGGATAAGTAGCCAGAAATGACATCATCTTTGCCCTGCTTCTTAGCTGCTGTCTCTTCAGACAGGAATATTGATTCCAAAGCCGCATGGAAAAGCTCTCCTTGGAGAAAGAGATCTRAGAAAGACAGGAAAACCCCCTCACATTTTAGACACTACTTTAGATTTGTATCCCACATATTATACAATGTAGATCTTAAACCAGTCCTGTTTTTCATACTGAAAATTTGAGGGTATGGGGAGACAGGAAAGAGACAGAAAATAMGTGGTCAGCAGTGAAATTGGTATCCCCTATATTAATGCTTGTTTTTACTTCTGTAATCTCACTGATTACTCATCCATATACTGGATAAATCAAATAGTCACTGAAAAACTTTACCATAAACAGCAGGACACACTAATTTTTAAACACTCAGGATTATATGATTTCAAAATGCCAATTTCCGTCTTGTTACAAAGTAGCTTTGTAACTGCACAGAGGCTCAATATCAACTAGAAGATATAAATTTCAAAATAAATACTGGCAGAGAAATAAATCAGACAGCATCGAGCAAAGTATATTTACAGTCTGGTTTCCATTTTCCACAGATTTCTAAAACCATTTTAATGGTCCCAGAATAAAAACCAGAGCTTACACTTGTTGGTAACAGGTACACTCACAATGTTCTCATGAAATGGAGCCAAACTTACTGGATTTCCAAACCATTTGACCTAAGGTACCTGCCAGCAATCCAGACTAACGCTTCAACTTTGCAATCACACCATGGTTACACTTACTTTTGGTATACTCTTCAAATCCCTCTTTTCCAAGCTCCTCTATCATCTTCTGCTTCCATCTTTCCAGATAAAAAATTTGCTGTGGAGAGAGTGTTTGTTGAAGGATACGGGTAACACTGGGCATCTTTGTTTTTTGTAACCTGATTTTCATGGGGACATTTGAATCGCTGCTGACAGGGAGAATTCTCTTGTTGGGGTTTATTAAAGGAACCCAGTTCCTGGGAGTTTTTGTCTCAGCTTTAATTGGAGGTCTGTGTTTAGCTGGTGGCCCATATAACAAATTGTCTTCCTCAAGTATTGTCTCTGGTGTTTGGGCACTGGTTTTGTAAGTTGTAACAGAGTGGACCAAGTTCTTGTATTTTTCTTGGTCAACTTGTTCATAACTGTTTCCTTTCTTCTTTTTACTATAAACATTTGCAGAGGTAGACARGCACATGCATGGGAATTGCTTTTGGCAAAATGGTATTTGAAAAAGCACTTCAAGGCTCCCAGGTTTCCTGGACAAGATCTGTAGGAATTGCATCCAGACAAGTGTTTGTGAGCAGTTACAGTTCTCTTCCTCCTGTTAGGAACAGTCTGTAGGTCACCATATTTTTGTCCCTGTGGGAAAAGAAATTTTGTGATTTCCAGAGTCATAAAACTCTACCACCATCCTATTCTTGCCCTTTGTTAAACAAAAAATTGCTGTTGTCAAAGTGTCTTCACTGGTTTTACATTTTAATACCGACTTTGGGTGGCCTGGGCAAACAAAAACTGTGCTGTAACCTGATGGCAGCTGATACAAAAGAAACCTCTCAAAAGCAAATCCTAAAAAGCAATGTAGAAAAATTAATCTCTTCTCTCTTGGGGATCACCTCTAAATAGAGCTGCTCGAGCTGGGATTTAAAATAAACCAGGAAAAAGACACTCTCATTACAGTGTAACAGAATCCAAACCTGTAGTTTTGCAGGCTATTGTTTGGTGACAATTAAATATGCTCATTAACGGCCATTGTGGACATGCACTGATCAGAACAGAATAAATGTTTGGGCAGTGGCTGTGCCTTTGTTATATAAAGCCACAGCACAAAAGAAAAAGTTTATTCTGGCTTTGTGTCAGCTGCAGGAAGCAAGAGGATGCCTGATTCAGCATAAATCAACTCATAGTAAGCTGCTTCCTCAACACTTTCTAAGGAACAAATTCACACCAGATCAGTGCTTCGAATCATGGACCTACTGAAATATGGAATATTATGAGCTTTAGAGCAAATTTAATGCAACACAGKGCTTTAGTGAATAGTATGGATTTTTATTTATTTTGTTATATTTTAATGGTCTATATTGTGCTGGGGAATATACCTGTGGARATGTTTGTGCACTGCATGCACCAAACCACCAGGAAAGGGAGATTTTGCCAGCTGCTGTCCTGTTCTACACAAGGAAAGAAGGTTGTAGGACTGCRAAGAAATAAGGCACCCTTGTGCCCAGCTGAATACAGAACCACGTCTTTTTCAATAAATCACAACGGCCTTTCTGTGCAGATAACTTACAGGAAAGAAATGGAGCAGTTGGGATCTATTCTTGTTCACAAAGAACAGAATTTAATCGAGATTTCCCTCTGGGGAAGTGTCTTTCTTCTYTCTGAAAGCGTTTGCTGTTGAAGACCGGCAGAATTGCTTCAAGTGTTGTATTGATGAGCCACACTGAAGAACTGAACACAAATAAAAAAAAAAAAACAGGAGGACTTAACTTTCCCAAGCAAGTTGACTTTGCASCTGCAGCAATAACTGAGCTAACATGACTGAGGAAGTTTTTTTTCCAGTATAGGAGTGGCTTAACTGAAGGAAATAAAAAGGATTATTTAAGGAAAAGTTCACATCCATAAAAACCTACCTCCAACTGCGGTTTTGGACAATAACAAGTATGACTTTTTTATGCAGGAAAAAAAAAAAAAAAGAAAAAAAGAGTATTGGCTTACTTCAGAGATAACAATAAAGAGCACTGCTAAACATACCTACAGATCTGTTGATCTGTGTCCCTAATTTGAGCAGAACAAATACACTGATGAAAATAWAACTTTAAGCTCCATGAAGACTGCAAAATAAATTATTGAACCTATCCGGGATAAAAATACACCTCCCTCTTTTGGAATGTTTAGAGCATAGAGAGAAAATTTAGCAACTCGGTTTAAAGCATAAGCCCTTGAAGCTACTCTGAACCAAAGGGTATCTTCAACAAGCTTCAGTGCCCAGTTCAAGCTTCATTCCCAGCTCAGCACTGGAAATGGAATTAGTGGGGAACAGGGCTGTAACACGATGTCAGCGATCTGYGAAAGAGCCGCGCCAACGCCAGTAATCACCAAGTGCCCTCTAGCAGAAAAAAAACTTTCTGTAYGAGTTCCAAGTGCCTGAAAATCCCAGTGGCGGAGAGCCCGCCTTTGTGCAAAGGGGGATAAACCACTCTGGACAACCAGCCCCGCCGGAGCCGGACATGCCCAGCTATGACAGCACAGCCATGTGGCCCCCTCGGTGGCGGACCCGGGGGCAAGGTGGGCCAGGGGAGCAGCAGCACCAGCCTCCCTCTTTTCCCTTTCCTCTTTCCCGTTCCCCTGGCCTCCCCTCACCCCCAGGCCCGCCCGACCCGCCGCTCCCCGGTACCTCCGCCGCGCTTCCCGCCACATCCGCGCCCGCCACTGCGCAGGCTCGCACCTCGCGCACTCTCGCGCATCGCCGCCCGCTGACTCATGGGATTTGTAGTCCCTCGCTCGGCCAGCGCCCAGCCCCTTCTCGTTCTTTGGAGRCCCGAAAGATGGCGAGAGGGGCGCGCCCGCTCTATCTCGCACTCTTTGGGTGTTCTTTGGAAGGTTCTGAGGAAAACAACCTCAGTGTTTAAATACAAGATAAAAAAGTAAAGCCTTGTGGTGCCATCTTGAATAAAGGCAAGCGGCGCTCTGCCCTCACCAAAGATGGCGGGTGCCCCTCGGGGGGTGTGGCGGCGGCGGCTCCGCCCGGGTTATATGAGGAGGAGGTGGCGGGGAGGAGGAGAAAGAGAAAGGTGGAGGGTGGTTGTCTGTTCCCGGAGACATGGCTCTGCTCCGCGGGGACGCGCAGGACAAGGTGAGGGCGGTGGTTCTGGCTGGGGCGGGCGGGGAGGGCGCAGCCGAGCTGGCCCCGCGGCATGAGAGGGAGCTCCCTGCTCCCTCTGCCCCCGGCGGCGCTGGGACACTGACAGGTTTTTAATTTTTGCTCACTTTAACGTTTGTTTTTTAAATATTAGTTGCCCCAGTCCTCGAGCCTTTGTCGCAGCGAGATCTCCTGAGGGCGGGGGGTCAGGGTGCCCCGGGTGAGCGTGGGGAGCAGCCCCTGAAGGGAGAGGTGCCCAGGGAAAGATAAGGGCGTGGGGAGAGTGGGAAGGAGGAGGAGGAGGAGGAGGGAAGGGCTGTGCAGCTGCCGTGAGGTGGGAGCAGGGTGATAACCGGGGCCCTGGAGCTGCGGGAGCGGGGCCTGGCAGGTGATGCAGGATCTGCTCCTCAGGACCTGTCCCTGGGCGCTGCTGCTGGAGGGCTGGAGGCGATTGTGCTGCAGGGGCTTAAACTTGTTCTTCCTCCGTGGGGCAGCTGCCCTGTGTGTCTGTGGCCGGCCTTCCTGGTTGTGTGCTYTGGGTTAATTAGGCTGTCAGCTGTCACTTCACCTGCGGTGCCCCTTTCCCTGGGTTGTCACATCRGCAGCTCTCTTGGCTTTCCTTTCTCTGGAGTATGGCTGAAGCTTTAAGTGCCAGGGAGCCTCATGTCCTCCCTTTAAAGCAGCACAGGGTGTTTCTTAAGGTTAAGGCTCTCAACTTTTCAGAGGAAATGGAAGTTAAATGCTGAAACAGGAACTTTGTGACTTTATGTAGTGTAGACTGTGATTGGAATTATTTCTCTTACTGGATGAACTGCCTGGCTTAACCTACCTAAACTCCCTRGTTTAATAACTACCCTCAGCACACCTTGAACAGAAGGAAGGCAGCCCTGTAAGAGTCAGCAAGCTGCCTATTTGCCTTTCATATTGTCACATCTGAATGTGGTTTTGCATTGTGACTAAGCTTCACTGGCAGGAAGATGACTTTGTTTTAAGCTGTTAGATGTGCTGAAAGTCTCCTCAGTCTGTGTTTTCTCCAGCTTTTTTGGAGCATGTATATTAGCTGACTTCAGGGCTAGAGAGAAATACATCAGTCTTTATTAACTCCYTCTGGATAATTTCCTTTTCTCTGCTTATTTTCCATATGAATCTTGCTTTGAAGCAATTCTGAGTCAGTAGGACTGGCAAAAGTTTGTAGAAGCATTTTCTAGTAGCTTGTTTTAAGCTGTGAGCTGGTCAGTGCTTTAACAACTCTTTTCTGCTGCATGTGAAACTCTTTGTATTAAAGTGTCTCTCCTTAGAGAACATTGAGGGTGAGCCTGTATAGGCCTGCAGGTGGGGAATGGAGGGGAAGGTCAAATATCAACTCTCTTGCAGCAATTGGTAACTTTGGAATATTTATGCGCCTTTSTAACTCAGCAGTCAGGAATATTGGGGGAAGGGGAAAATGTTCTCATGGTAGAGGCTGGAGTAGCTTTAAACCCTGATGCTCAGTGGACAAAGATTAGTTTGTTTTAGGTTGTAGGGCTGTCTTGGGATTCCAGCAGCAGGGGGAGGATAGAAATGCTCCTATCTTGTCTGTTCCTGTTTAGGCAAAGAAACAGCAACATGGAACCAGTGTGTGACCAGTAGATAAAACCTATGCCTGTAAAGGAAACTTCATTAGGTATTAACTTGAATAGGAGCTGCTGTTAAGTATAAACTAAAAAGTGACCCTGAGGTGGCAAAGCAGGAGAGGATCAGGATGTGTAGGAAGAGGAAGGGAGGGTAAGATAAGGGTGATTTGAAGTGCAGTGGAAAATAAGGTGTGATCTCTCATGGGGGAGGAAAAGGCACTTCAGAATTTGAAGAGAGTAGTGGGACTTCTGAGCTMAGCTTGAGTAAATACCTTCATATTTTTTAATATCAGTGACTTCACGGTGTTTTAAAGCTTCAGTCTGCAGTTAAAATGTTCTGGATCAAAATACTGAGTGTGTATTGTAGCCCCTTTTTCTCATAGCAATCACTGGAAGACAAAATGTTGTGTCATGGCCTGGGACTTGCTGTTACCACTCATAAATGGTGATTTTCTGCTGGACAAATTCTCCTGCATGTTCTGGAAGGAATGAGGCCATACTGGATCTTGCCTATGCTTTGCAAAAAAAAAAAAAAAACAAAAAAACAAACAAACAAACAAAAAAAAAACAAAACCCCAAAAAAACCCTGCTTCTGAATGCTGCTGGGCCTGAAATCAAAAAAAAAAAAAAAACAACAAACCAAAAAAAAAAACCCTGCTTCTGAATGCTGCTGGGCCTGAAATCAAGTGGGGAGGTGAGCTGCTAGCAAGGTGACAGCTCCTGGATAGGATAATGTACTCTCAAGGACATGCAGCCTCCACAAAGCTGGCCCAGCAGTTTGGGCTGATGGAAGGTGAACCTGCTGTATTCCTGAGATTCCCTGCCACCAGCTCCAGCCTCACTGTGGGGGGTCAGTAAAGCATTCTCGTGGATGCTGACTGTGGCTTGGGGGTTTGCTGCTGTTGCAGTTTCCATTTGAGCTGGGCCAGGAGTGCTCAGCCMCAGGCTCTGCTCTGCAGGCACACAGGGGGCTTGACCCCTGGAATTGAGAAAGCAGTGTCTTGGGTGGAGGTGTCCTGTGTGCTGCTGGGTGGAACAGGGGTGAGCCAGCAAGGATTTTGCTTGGAATGCAGATCCTTGAATGCTTGTAGTGTCCTTCCCTCTGTCAGGAGGCGTGTGACCTGCAGGTTTCTGCAGAGAGTGATGCAGAGATCCCTCTGGCAGGAGAGGGCCAGTTTATTGCACAGCCAGAGGCAACAGGTRCTCTGGGCCTTCTGTTTCCTTGGCAAGCACTGCACTTGCTGAGGAATGCCATTTCAGTGTGACTACACTGAGCTGTTATTCCCTCTTTATCAGTGTTTCAAGCAAAATAATTAAACCTTTGCATCACCAGAGTTCTCCAGTCCAAAGTCACAAATTTGGGGAAGCATTTTCCATGGCGTAAGTAAGCACTTGTTCAATTTTCTTGGTTGTATGTAAACAGACCACCTAAGGACTGTTTGGCTTAATGTGACAGTGATAATAGCAAACCTGCCACAAAGGCTGCAAAATCCAAACTTCACATGCCTGCAGTGTACTTTCAGATGTCCTTTTTGTAGCCTGATTTAAAGGAAACTTATGCTGCTTGTGCTGAATATGACTAAAATGTAGTTCCAGCAACTAATGCTGCTAATRTCTGCAGGCCAGATCCTCTGCTGGTTAACTCCTGGGAGTCGAAACAAGGCCCTCTGGAATGAGGGCTCTGTATAAACTGCCAAAAAACACCATGATTTTTTAGTGTTCTCTGGAGAGCACCTAAACAGCTTTAATTAGAAAGCCTGCTGTGTAAAAGGTAATGGATTCTAGCTAGTGGCAGATGTAATTACTACTGAAGTCTTGTTTGTGGGCTGTTGCTTGAATGACAGCARGGAGGTGATCAGTAGGGGGAGAAGGTTTTTATAAGGTAGCTGACACTAAGAAGAAAGCTTTGACATGTGAGACCTTGTGGAGGGGCTCTTTGCTCCTTCCAAGAGCATGGCTATGTGAAAACCCCCTGGATTAATGTGTCTTTGAGAACAAATGCATATTTGAACAAGCAGTCAGAAGTTGTTGCTTGTAGTTGCTTGCAGCGGCAGATTCTTTTGTTAGAATGCAGAAGTGGCACCGAGTCATCCAGAGCTGCTGCTAAAACTGCAAAGGGTGGAACTTCAAAAGCAGCGGCTCAGGCCTCTCACCAGAGCTAAGAGACTTCAATGGTTGAGGGTATTTCCCTCTACTGAGTGCCTGCAAGCATCGAGATGTGTTTGCATTTGGGTGAGGCCTGATCAGAAATTTGATGTCTGTCAGGCAGAAGCTTGGGTAGCTGGTGGTTGTCACAGCATTGAAGTTAAGGGATGCAATTTTTCTTTTTTCCCCTAGCATCTCTAACAAATAGAAAACAAGCAAGTGCTCTAAAATTCTACCTGGATTGGSCACAGTAATGATCTCTGCTCTTTCCTTGGGCTTCTAGATCAGGTGTTTATCTCTATGTCCTAAATAGCACCCTAATATCTATTTTTAATCTTCTGGTCCTGAAACCTAGAAATGCTAGCCAATATGATATCTGTGCTATTGTGAAGGGCTCTGCTTTGTCTTGTTCTAATTTCCAGGTTGGACAGGTGGACCAGTATCTGTACCAAACAGGGAGTAGTTTTGCTTGAATCCTCAAGAAACCCCAGGAATCCTGAAACAAGTCACTGACAAATCCCGAGTGTAGAAGTGGGAGGTGTCAGAGAAGCTGTAACAGTTTCTGTAGTCATTGCGAGCCAGAAGCTGCTTTTGGGAAAGAGAAATGAGAGTTGAAAGTGAGAGTACTGTGCTGGCTTTGGGTGAGTGTTTCAGTTTGCAGCCCTACCCAGCTGTTTCCCCTCTGTGTGTCCTCTATCTGGGCGTGTGCTACAAGTACGGAATAATCCCTTCCCAGCTGCTGAGCTTGGATTATATCCCCTCGAGGGTATGGAGTGACAGATTGTTTGTTTTCTGGTAACTGGGACAGGGGAACTTCAGTTCTGTTGTCCCACTGCTTGGAGTCGAGGGAGGAAGCAGTGACATCCTAGCAMATGCCTCTGGATGGGAAGTTGCTGCCAGACATGGTAGGCCAGAGAATTAAGATGGAGTGACCTGGGAAGGTCTTGGGTTGGGTACCTGTGGTAGTTAAAAGAGCAAGCCTGGGGCCTGGAGATGGAAGCTTAATTCCTTTGCTCTGCACAGCTTATGTGGCCATAAGCAGGTTGGTCCTCATTCCTGCATGTAGGATGGGTGTAGGAGAGATGGAGGCATGGAAAGTGCTATGTGGAGCTGCTGGTGCTGCAGAGCAGGTGCTGGTGTTGTTCAGGGGTTGGTGTGAGACATCTGCCATGGGTGCTCACTGAATCGATGCTTTACAGAGCTGTGCTGACAGGAGTGGGGCTTCCTGCTTCCCATTCAGGGGACAAATGCTGCTCCAGCACTTTTTGTCAGGAAACAAAGCACTCCCTCCTCCTGAAGTCAGACAGCATGAATGTTCCCTTTGTAGTTCTGAGCCATGATTGTGTAATCCTGAATGTCTCTGGCCTGGAGTTAGGAGYCCACAGTGACCTTCACAGGACCGGAGCAGATCAGGGGTCTTACAATCCGTGGTTTCATCTGGCTCCAGGTTCTATTTGCAGTTTGTGCAGAGTGCCTGTGACATGTTTAACTGCTTTAATGTGACCAAGCAGCATCACTTTGTTCATGCTTGTCTGTCAGTTGTGTAGACAACTAGGCATGGAGGGGTGTGCAGACAGCATATAATCATGGGTTACTTTCTSCACAAGACTTCATAAGGAAGTTCACAAATTCAGGACTGTCTGATTTGTGTAATCCTTTCCTTAGTTTAGCTGAGAGGAAAYGGTTTCCTTTGGCTTATCATGCTTTCCAGACTCAGCAGTTCATATTGTTAGCACTGCTGATCCTGTTTGGATGGCAAATAGAAGCAGGATGTAAAACACTGGGGTCTGCATCTTAGTGCTCTGGCTGGGAAATGGGAAACACCAACCAATTTGCCTTTCATTTGGCATCAGTGAGCTGTGCTCCCAGTGAAGCTAATGCCTGACTGGTGGCCTTCTGCCTGTCCTTCCTGCAGTGCCTGAGTGGGGCAGATCCTGCCCAAGCCCGTGTCAATGACCTCTGAACCATGCACCTCTGTGCTGGTTGGCCTGTGCCTTCCTAGCAAGGGCCAGGATTGCCTKCCTATATGGGAATATCATAGTCTGWSCTAAGTGGTGTCTGGGGGGAAGTGAGTGCTGTTGGAATTCCCATAGAGTTTGGAGTCCCCCCGTGTCATTTTGTGTGTGAGCAGTGCCTGGAACTGCTAGGAACTGTGTTCCAAGGCAGGCTCTCTAAGTGTGCTTGTTGCCAAGGTAAAGGTTTAGAAATCTTTTGTCCTTTCCATCCTCTGGGAAGCTATGTTCTGCATGCAAGGTCATTCCATAGTCATTAGGCTTGAAAAGTATTATCCCTTACCTACCTCCTTTTAATTCTAATAGCAAAGGCAGAGCAGATGAAGTGTTTTTAGCATGGCTGGAGGGTGCAGTGGCTGGGTATCCCTCACTTATGCACAACAGTCTGACTGTAGGGAAGGGCAGTGGCAGGAGCAAATGCTCCCTGGCCTGGCAGCTGTGTCCTCTGCAGGCAGCCASAGAGACTTGTCACACACCAGATCTGGGCTGCAGATGGCCAGCCTAGGGGGAGGAAGCTTCCAAAAGATTCACCTTAAAACAGGTAACCTGTCCATAGTTCTTAAGCAGCTTTACAGAGGCTCGAGGCAGCACTGAGCCATCTGTGATATGACAGGACTGCTCAGATCCTGGCACCATTTGCTTGTGGGCTTGGGTGCTGAAACTTTGTGCATACAGTAGAAGTAGGATCAGGCTCGTGTCTGATGTGGTCTGTGCTGCAGAGTGGTAAAATATCAGTCCTGGTGCAGTTTTCTAGCGTTCTTTTCTGAGAAGGCCTTCAGAACTGTCTCCAGGGGATTATCTCAGCATTCCTTCTGGCTCTGATGGTCACTCTTCAGCAAACTTTCTGTGTTGGGACCTTGATCTCTGGTAGTTTCTCCCTTAAGAAGAAAATAATGATTTGTTAGGTGCAGCACTCAAGGGAGGACCTCTTAGAAGACAGTTTTCATATGTAAACTGAGGATCTTCAACTGAGAAAGCTGTTCTACTGCTCTTTAGAAGTTCAAGTATGCTTKAAATGGTGTTCTGGGTCTCWGTYGTTGGAATGAATGAAGAAATTAGCYCCCAAAGGGAGATYCTGRCTCMTTTTAAGGYACTTTAWATCACTGGGAGAGCAATTCTGGTCATATGTRYTGTTCCTGAAGGCAGTGGTGTCATGCAGAGARGTTCTTGTTGACAGYTGRTAACCAGTCAGCTTCACTGAACCTACATGATGCTTGATCAAGGATTATTCTATGAATTCTTTTGCAGGTGAGGTCTGTATCTGTAGATCTGAATGTTGATCCTTCTCTCCAAATTGACATCCCTGATGCCCTCAGCGAAAAGGACAGAGTGAAATTCACTGTGCACACTAAGGTAAAGTCATGGGCAAAAAGAGGTTTTGCAAGTAATAGATGTATGTGCAGTACACATACCTGTGAAGATGGGTTTGGCAATGAAGGAAATCTAATTAGGTGGAGATTTTCCACTTAAAGGTGGCCTGAGCGTGTGTATATATATGCAGAAAGTTCAGATTTCATAGGATTTGAACTCTTTCAACTGAGACAAGTAGCTGATGACTGGGTTGGCTTTGCTAAGGAATCCTAACTAGACACCAGAAGGCTGGGGGTAGGAAGTGAGCTACTGTGAAATGTCAMAAAACAAACTGCATTAATGCTGTTCTACAACAGCACTTTTTTTTTTCTAACAGTCTCCTTAGTGTTGAATAAGTGCCAGCTCAGCTAAAAGGGAGTGGGCAAGGCTCTTACTAAGCAGAATAGCTTCCTTTGGAAATGGACAGAACTGTTTCTAAAAGCACTGATTTACAAAACAGTAGGGCTTCTATATATTCTCTTCCAGACTACACTGCCAGCTTTTCAAAGCCCTGAGTTTTCAGTTACAAGGCAGCACGAAGACTTTGTGTGGTTACATGATACACTCACTGAAACGGAAGAGTATGCAGGACTCATCGTAAGTACTTCCTAAAAAATGTGATTATAACTAAAAAACTATAGCAATCTAAAGTGCTTACTACTAATGGCATGAAGTGTGTTTTACCAGTGTTACTGGTGTTCTGTGACTCAGGTGTTCCCTATGCTTCCTGTTGCCTTCATTCCTAAACAACTTGAGTGGTGKGGCACTTACTTTAACTTGCTGTATAGCTTGGAGCAGCAAAAGATGCTTTGACAGTCCTTGACTCAGTGGTGGTATTAATATCTGCCTGAAGATATTCACGAAGGCACAATGAAATAATCTATTAAATATGGTCTTTCCTTCCTATCATGATTCATTTTAGGGGATGGCTGGCTGTGGGGTGGGTTACAGAAGCTGTTTCTATGGGTTGGTTTCCCTCCTGGGGCAGGGATAACACAAACTAGGCACCCAGATGTCACCATGTCTCTAGAATTCTTTGGTCATGACTCTTTGCCATGCTTTCCCATGACCAGGCAAGTCTCCTCCCAGAGAAGGCTAGAAGTAATCTTGGAAAACTTCATTTGCTAATATCTGTGACKAACCAATTCCTTGCCTAGATACCTCCAGCACCTTCAAAGCCTGACTTTGATGGTCCCAGAGAGAAGATGCAGAAGCTGGGGGAAGGAGAAGTGTCTATGACAAAAGAAGAGTTTGCCAAAATGAAGCAAGAGCTGGAAGCGTAAGTACAATGAGTCTACTGCCAAAAGCTGCATTTGGAGAAGCCTTCTGGGAGAGCAACTYGTTTGGTGATAACTGATCTTGAGTGTGACTGTTTTGAAGGGTGTCTTGAAAATCCTGRAGCTGGGGAGTTGCCAGAAGTTTCTTTTGAGCTGGAAAACTTCCTAGCTGAAGAGATTGAAAGTAGCTTCMCTGTCATGAGCTGGCTATTTCAGAAGCCTGCAGTTGAATGTTTTCATGGGATAAACTTAAAGCCATTCTTTGTATATTGAAGGAGGCAGTACAAGAGAGGTTCTCAGGCTGTTGTTTCCTTGCAGTGAATACCTCGCTGTCTTCAAGAAGACKGTCTCATCACATGAGATCTTCCTGCAGCGGATCGCTTCTCATCCCGTGCTCAGCAAAGATCGCAACTTCCATGTTTTCCTGGAGTATGACCAGGATGTAAGACCTTTCTTTCCTTGTTTCTCTTTCCAAACTGTTAGGAGTGCTGTTGTTTATGCTGGGCACWGTCAGAATRTTCWGTGGGTCTATGTGCAGCATCAGCARGTAGATATTGCAAGTATTTCTGTGAGATGACTGAAGGATGAAAGCCTGACCTTTAGACCTTTCTTTGCTATAAATCTCAGTATTTCTAAATCCTTGCCAAATTGGTCAGGAAGGCAATCTTGCATGTCTTTATTTTGGGAAACATGTATGGCTCAGGCGTACTTGTGCTGCATTGTGTGGTCCTAAAATGGAGGAATGGAGGTGTATTAAGCTCAGTCCTGCATCTGTTTTGTCACATTTAATTGAGTGATAGGTGCTGACCTAAGATATGTGAGGAGAAACTGAGGTGTTTCTGGGAATGGGAAAAATCTGTGGCACAGAAGACCTGAACTACTTGTAGCCAAACCATTTGTTACCTGTTCCATTTTTATATGRGTATATTATGGAGGGCTTGGAAACCATCCTGCTAGGTGGTTTCAGGTAACCACCTGGGCTAGGTATAAAGGATGTTACTACATTGCAAGTGTCAAAACAGTCACTTTTTTTTCCCTCTTGCTGGATATAACTTTAAAGTTGCTTTGGCCTTTCTGTTGCAGCTGAGTGTTCGGAGGAAAAACACTAAAGAGATGTTTGGTGGCTTTTTAAAAAGTGTAGTAAAGAGTGCTGATGAGGTTCTCTTCTCTGGAGTCAAGGTAAGGTTCTTGCTTTATCTCTTACCCTAATCTTGATTGTTTCTTGTTTCCTCCTCCAGGGAAATTACTTGTGTCTGCTTCAGGCTTGCTGTRCATGAAGCTCAGTTACTGATGTGAAACTGCCTTGTTACTGCTGTCCCAGCTTGAGGAGAGTAGCCTGTATTAATTGTGACTTCTGTAGAAATGAGACATTGAAGCTTTAGGCTGTTAAATCCCAGTGTATAATTAAAGTTCCTGAATGCAGAAGAGTTGCCTTAATACCTGATGCCAGTAGGGAAGAAGGAATTGTGCTTTCAGGAAATGTGCTTGTTGCTTTTGTCCACTTCAGAGTTCTGAACAGAGATGATTTATGGGTTTCTGCTTAGACCAGACAATATGAAATACCAAAGACTCCTGTAACTGATGTAGCTCCAGCTTTTGTCTCCTGTTGCCATGGTAGCCCTTCCCAACAGGCTTGCTGTGCTTCCCACAGTGTCACAAAACTAGTACAATGTGGATCATGTTTGGTGTGGATGTGAAAGAGCTTGTACACTGCTCATTCCTTAGCTACAGTCTTGCAGCAGGCCTAGGAAAGAGAATTCCAGCTGCTSATAGTCCTGAGGGCTGTGCCATCCCAACTTACTGCTTCAGGCAACCTGCATCAGTATTTGAGTGTCCACTTCACCATAGTGAGAAAGAAACTTGCTGGGAGGCTTGGTTTGTCAGACCCTTGGCTCATATCTTGTCTTGARCAGCTTTTCAGTAGGGATTGATGGGCTTAATGCTCAGGCCCAGGCTATGGTTGTTTCTTTGGCCCTTCCCAAAATAAAGAACTTACATTCTGCAGTAACTGACTTAACAGGTCATATTCTTTTTCAGGAAGTAGAAGATTTTTTTGAGCAAGAGAAGACTTTTCTTGTGAACTACTACAACAGAATCAAGGATGCATGTGCAAAAGCAGATAAGATGACAAGATCTCATAAAAGTGAATCTTTTCAAAGCCCTTTCGAAAGATCATGCAGAAATCATGCTGATTTCAGCCTGAAAACCTTGTCTTGTTCTTGCAGATGTTGCAGATGACTATATTTATACTTCAGCTTGTTTGAACAGCCTGGCATTGGAAGAGCCTACAGTTATCAAAAAGTAAGCAATMCTGACTGTTCATAAACACATCCTGACTCTGGGAATACCAGTGTTTTTTTAATGTAAAATCCAGAGGATTGAGTCATGGGTGGTTTGAGTTTCTTGAATTGCAAGTGGCATTAAAACTTTTCTTCCTCTGGCACTCCTTATGTGGCAGACCTAAAGCTATCCATTGCACCTAACTCTTWGCTAGTTGATCTCTTGCCAGTTGTAGCCTAGAGCTGACTTGTGCTGGTCATCCAGACTCTTTCTAAACAGAAATCTCCTTGATTCTCTTCAGGTCACAAACTGCTAGAGACTCTTGAACAAAGGGTTTATGCATGTGTGTTCTAATGTGCTGTTAAAATACTATCTCCTGGACCTTTGCACTTCCAGAATAGTAGGGGATTTTTAAGCTGGGGAAACAGAGTCACCTCTTTTCAGGTGACTTCTTCCACCTTTCAACTTTGCTATCACCTTACCAAGACAGAGTGTATAAACAGAGTGTATAGCTGAATAAACAAGTTAACTCATCCATTTTGGATAGCAGTAGGGAAATTCTCCACAAGACCTTTATGCTCTGGAGATCAGCATTGTTACATTTAATGGTGTTTTAGCTCTCAGCTGTCCTGGTCTGGTAGGCTGCAATCCAGCACACTGAACCTTTTGTCCAGGTCTTTGCCTAAATGAGTCTTTTTTGAGSCCTTGTGTGGATCTCTATACAGCAGTAAACTCCAGCCTTCAGCTTTYTGGTTTCCTGCCAATTGATCCTGGCATTTATCAGACTTAAGTATCTCAAACTTACTCAAAGTAAGTTTTAAAAAATGCCTATTTTTTTTCCTCACTAGGTACTTGTTGAAAGTTGCAGAGCTCTTTGAGAAACTCAGGGTAAGAGAAGCTTTGCTGGGGGCAGGAGGGGGAGAGGAATCTCTGACTCTGGATGTTGCTGTTTTCTGTTACACACAAACTGACTTTTTTTTTTTTTCTGCAGAAGGTAGAGAGTAGAGTTTCATCTGATGAAGACTTGAAGCTCTCTGAACTGCTGAGATACTATATGCTCAATATAGAAGCTGCTAAGGTGAGAGCAGTTTTCTTTTTGAAACCTTCGTTCTGTTATGGGCAGCATGACTCACTCATRGTATTCTTTGTGCTTTAAGAAGACAGAAAAATGGACCCTTGTTTTGCCTAAGAAACCTGACACACTTAAACCACAGCAGAATATAGAGGCTGTATATTAGCTAGCTGGAGCCCAGCCACTTACAGAAGACCTTAGACCAATTTTTCTTTGGCATGTAAAGTGGAAGAAGTCTTTAAATTTCTGTAAGTTAGAGCAAACTGAATTTAAGTCTGCAGCAGTGTTCTTTCCTGTCTCCTGCCTGAGTACTCATGGACTTGTCAATAAAATCAGTGATGACTAATTAGCCATTGGGATTGACTTCAGGATCTTTCGAGTACCTTAGCACAAATACATGGTAACATGTGAAGAGTCTGGACTTCCAGGAAGGYTTTGGTAGATTGATGTGACTGCAAAAGCCTTGCTGGCAACTCTTTTTGAATCACAACTTGATTTGACAGGGGATGACTATGCTGAAAAAAAAGATCTAGGTAGAACCTAATGGGCCTCTTCATCTAATGTCTTACCTGAAATGTCAGGTGCCCCAGAACATCCACTACAGCCTTCCCCAGTGGGGTGTGCTGCTATTGAGACATCACAACTATACTCCAGCTAGACTAGAAAGGGATTGGCTCAGAGACCTCTACTACTACTCATGTGTAGGTTAGACAGTGCTTCAGTCAAACTGCCAGATCTCCAACAAATTAAATGTCTGCTGGAAGCAGACTGAGGGAATTCAGAAAGTGCTTTTCCTTCTCAGTGGAGGGATCCACCTTGCAGCAGGATAAACTGCTCTAAGGGAAGAAACAATGCCTATAGCAGCTCTTAGACTTCCTTCACTAAGGCATAACTGGCTGTCCTGAAAATGTAGTGCTGCACTGTGAAAAGCTGCCAAGAACAGGCTCTAACAGCTTGTTGGAAAAAGCAGAATCTGGTGCTGAAAGAAGTGAAACCTCCTGCTGCTAAGGTARTTGTAACCTCAGTTTGGGAAGTAGTCCTGCTAAGGCTCTGGTGTGCTGTTTCTGTCCTCATCCAGGATCTTCTGTACAGGCGAACCAGGGCTCTTGTTGACTATGAGAACTCAAACAAAGCTCTAGACAAAGCCAGACTAAAGAGCAAGGACGTCAGGCTGGCTGAGGCACATCAACAGGATTGCTGTCAGAAGTTTGAAAAGATTTCAGAGTCTGCAAAACAAGGTAAAACAGCCTTTGTGGTACTTATTCATAAAGGAGAACTTAATGCAGTGGAGRTCTCCATCTGACCTTCAGCTGCTGAAGGCTCCTGAACAAGTAGTCTGGACATGCCAAGGACAGTATAGATGCCTGTAAAAGCAATGCAGTTAAACATTTAAAAAAATTCTCTGTTAGCAGAGCAGTGTCAGTACTACACCAACCTTATTTATAAGGCCTTAGTATTTGCTTTCTKCACTGAACTCTTGTACTCAGCCTGAAGGTAACTACTGGGGCTTCTGATCTCAGTCAGAACAGTGCAAACAGGCTTTTGCTCTGTCCCAGTACAGCTGAGTGCCTTATACAGAGTTTCAAACACTGGTTCTTAGTAGAAGGGTGTATATATATATATATTTGGACAATGTAAAGCAGAGGAAATGCTGCCACTTCTTTAGTGTGTCTGACTTTTAAATGTTCTGTGTTTTCACAGAGCATGTRTGGATGTTTTATTCCAGCTGTCTTCCTACAAAGCTTTTCTGTCCAAGGCTTCTTGTGTGTCACGTGGTGATTGTATCTCTGTCTACAMACACCAAGACTGACTCTTGCACCTTTTTGTGATCAAATACTGTAATTAGAGCTGCACAACAGAACTCCTGAAACATGAGGGGCATTACTGAAACTTGTCACATATTCTRTATCGCTCTTACCTTTGKTTTTTTTTTTGGTTCTTTACAGAACTGGTGAGCTTCAAACAGAAGAGAATAGCAGCATTCCGCAAAAACTTAATTGAAATGGCAGAACTGGAAATAAAACATGCAAAGGTGTGTTCTCTTTGGAATTTAACAGGCATGAGTTGAGAGAAGTGAGTGTTGTGTAACTGGGAGGATTTGCTGKGTCACCTGACTTCCATCAGGCAGCCTCATCTGTGGGGTTTGACCCCTGCTGTGTCCAGAGGCTGCTGCTGCTTCCAGTGCTCCTCAGTGCTGTGACAAGAGCACATCCTGCAGCTTGTGATCAGGTGTCAACCCATGTCCCTTGGCTTGGCAGTGGAGGGGACACTGGCTTTGTGGCAGCCTCTGCCAAGCTTTGCTAAGCAGGCTTGAAGGGTCTGTCAATGTAGAGAACAAAGTAGGAAGGGGTTACTGCATCCTCAGCTCCTTTTGAAGAAGGAAAGTCTAATGTCCCACTCCTTGAGAGTACTGGACTTTACCACAGGCAGCTACTGAAGTGCTGAACTGCAATGGGGCACAAAGGCCTTGACAACACTGCTCCGTTTGGCCCACTCTGAAAGCTTCCTGTTGTCTGTCACTCCTCTCCTTWCCACAAACTGAGTCATGGCTGCAGGCCTGCAGGAAGAGGCAGATTGCAGACTGTGAGATGTGTTCTTGGCTCTTTACTGCTTGAATGCTTGCCTTTACAATRGAACATCTTTAGCACTGGCACAGGCTACAAAATCCTGTGTCTGACCCACTATTTGGGATGCTATTTCTTTGTGAAAAGCAGGATTTGAATGATCAGCTGTACTAACCTGAACCTAATTCTCTTCTTTTGCAGAACAATGTATCTCTTCTGCAGAGCTGTATTGACTTGTTCAAGAACTAAAGGAGTCTTACTCTGAAAATGTGACAAAAGCATCAATTGCACTCAATGGCCAGGGGGAACTTATTGGTTTGATTTCAWTAGCTTAAAATAAATATTGTCACTGAGATTGTTTGACTAATACTTAAATATGTTGATAGTGATACATTGACTTTATTGGTATAAATGGGAGCTGAATTGTATATGAATTGTCTGGATGTAGCTAACATCCTGTTGGCTGATAACTCAAAATGAGTCAAAYGTAAGAAATGAATTTGCTGTTGACTGACTTCATCTAGCAGAAAAGTTTACTAAGAATTCCTTTTTTGTGGGATCATAATCTGTCTCTTCATGGCCCTGATGTATTTGAAACTTGCAAGTGAGAGTGACTTAAGGGTAATAATTTTATAAAGTAAATATCTTAGCATTCCACTTCCCAGACAGATTTCTACTACGATATATTTTGAATTTCTATGACAATACATTCACTATTTGTACACTTGGGCAACGCAGCAAATAAAGATGTCTGACACAAAAAGCTGTTGTATGGCAAGATTTTGTGTGGGATGTAAAGTGACAAAGAGGCTTCAGACACAGAGCTATCACAAATTGCTCATCACCTGGAGCGCTCTTCAGAGCACTAGAGAGAAATATCTGACTCAAGAGATTGTTCTTGGAATGGGTGTTGGAATTAAAAGTGTGGACTTCAAGTGGCTGCCTGCAATTTTTACTTTCAATATGCTGCACATACAGCATGGTAAAGKAGTTTTTCACCTCCTGCTAGCAACAAGAGGCTGTTTAAATCTTCAGGGCTTATGGGAGCTGAGGTCTAGACTGTCTCCTGTAARGTATAAACCTCCTGAAGCTTTGCATGACCAGCTGGGCTCCCAGTGCCCTGCCTGAGGTGGCTCATCCCATAACCCCCAAGGCCATCGCTGGACAGTTTACTATCAGCTGGCACCCATGGATATAGGTCAGTGAGTCACATCCTCCTACAGGCAACTTTTTGGGTAAGATGAGTGTCTGAGCGTGCTTCTTTTTGTGTGACTAAACTTCTAATCATGCTCAAAGTAGGCTCTGTGGCTGTGCTCTGGGCAGACTGCCTGAAGCAGCCTCAACCAGAGAAGCTTTGAGAATGGGCAGCTCAGTGGCAGTTTCTAAGGGTTTACTTTCCTGTGACCTACTGCTTTTTTTTTCTTAGTACTCCGTGAAAACTGAACAGCTTTTACCAGCCACACCATCCTGCAGTAGAGCTGAAAAATATCTGAACTCCTTTTATTTTTATTTGACAGGAATAGTTTCAACTTGTGATTGTTTTCCAAAAGCCCTGCCACTAGCAATGTGTCTAAAGCTAAATGTGACACCCTTTTTCTGTTTCAAATACCCTTTCAGGGCTTTCCCATGAGATGTTTGCTTTTGTGTRGTTGGCACTCTAAATTCTTGACATACCTTACTCCAAGTCAAGATACTAACGTGGACAGATTAAAAGTATGTWAAACACTTTGAGTGGCTGTAATTACAGCTTTACACTGATGTTGCAGGTTCTGTAGGTGCAGTTAATTTATAATAACTCTAAGTTAGCAGTCTCTGCCGCTGCTGCTGTTGCTTWGGAAGAAGCTGCTGTGTGTCAGCTGCTGCCAGCAGAGTGCGTTGCAGTCAGCGTCACTCTGGTGACTCGGAAAATAAGCCACAGCACAGCAAATTTTTCTGGAGGCCAGTGGGTGGCAGGCTGCAACAGCCCCTGGTAACCTGCTCCCACGTTTCCTCTCAGACTAAGTTGTGGTGAAGTCCTGAAAAGGCTGCTGCATCCCCCACTTTCTTACCTGGGACTGGACAGATGTTGATATAGAAGAAAAATAAGCTGTGTATGTAGGCAGCCTGCTCATAAGGAAGAAACGACGGAAAAATTCCTTTAATGCATAGTGTAATAGTGTAATATCACTGGACCTCACTTTTCTTACAACAGGATCTTGAATAAAGCCTTAGCAGAGTAAAGATCAGCTTGGGTAAATCAGTGTGATAAAGCATGGTACCATCAACATTAAAATAACTTTTTTAGAAATATTGCTCAGACTTAATTTAAAAGACTGGTTAGGGTGGATGAGAGCAGAGTTTCATAGATGTCCCAAACAAGGATTGACTAATGTACATTTACTGATCCCATCTGTAAAGCAGTTTGACTTTACAAGCTTGTTCTTCTAGTTTATGGGTTGGAAATTGGCTTTTGAGAACAAKCCTTATCACTGTGAAGAGCCACACAGGGAAGATGTGAGTTCTTCTCCCCCATTTGAATGAGCTCAGAGGAAAATCTACTGTTCAGTCAAATTTACTGAGGCTTGTTAAACACCCAGGGGCAGAAAAAGTGCAGATGGGAACCAACCTGATCATGTAAGAGAGGCTCAAAAACTTGTCCTGTTGTACAGGACCATGATTCCTGGTGGTGCAATAAAACGTGTTTGTGGCCATAGAAAAGCAATGATTAAAGATCAAATGTGCTTTGAGAAGGAGCAGGTGTGCCCTGATGTGTGCAGTAGTCGTGATTCTAGGAAGACACATCGCTGATGCTGAGGCTGGTAAACAAAACAGAGAACATTTTGTCTGCCTRTGTGATACTTAAAGCCTGGAAGAGCCCTGTGCTCTTTATGCTGRTTGTTGCTGTGCTTCCCACAGTGATTCTGCACCTAGGACTGGCTTTATAAGCCTGAAACTCTGCTAAAACCCTGGCCTGACTCGGGACAGAAATTTGTCTGCCATCCAAATTATCCTGGGGTGATTACTGATGTTTGAATTAGAGATTCACATAACTAGTTGTTGGGGGGAGTCCTTTGTTTTTGCTTCTAATGTGCTCTTAATTTATTCTACTTTTCTTCATTCCATCCTGTTTCTTCTGGATTGCTCTGTAGGAGAGCTCTGATCTGAGGCCCAGCCTCGYGCTGTGCTTCCGATAGCAAATGTGAATTTCTCAAAACATGGGTTTGGAAGGTTTTCTCAGCAGGTATTAAATTTCTGACTTGCCATCTCTTTSAACAGATTGGGAGAAGCTGCTTGTTTGTGCTGTGAAGCAGAACTCTGCYGAGTTCCTGTTCTTAGATGGAGTTTTCAATTCTTCCCTGCTCCCCCAGCACYGGCTGCTATGGTTGAGAGCACAGCTAAGAGCGATTTCAGTTTGTGCTCCTGAGCACCTGCGTCACTGCTGGGTGACAGTGGAATATCTGAAATGGATTTGAAATGGTCCATGGGTGGATCACTGCTCACCAGTGAGTGGGTGATCCATTTAATCCCTCAGATTGTTKCTTGCCTCCAGGTTTGGTCCTGCAGCTCACCGTTTACCAAAAATTGTGTTTCATCTGCTATCAAAATGTTGCTCAGTGGCYGAGTCCTGGTGTGGGCTCAGCCTTGCTCACTGTTTACTTTTAATATTACAAAGCCAATGAGGAGGCCCAGCTGATAGCAGAGTCCAGCTCAGCTGGGTTTTCRTGCTTGCATGCTAAAAATAATCCCWGCTAGGAGTGCTCTGTAACTTCAACAGGCAAGCAGGAGCAGTGCTTGTTTCACAGAGCAGGGAATTCAGGTAGTGTGTGGAAAAGGYGACCTGCCTGTGGTTCCATGAGGGGCTTTTGTCAGAGCCAGGATTTAACTTCAATCTGGAATTCCACTCCAGGGCTCCTGCTGCCTTAATCAGCTGCTCTTGGAGGTGGTTGAACGAGCACTGCTGGATTTGAGTTTGGCTGTCCCTTGGCYGTGCTTTGCTGCTCTTCTGTGCAGATGTGGCAGCTGCCAATGTCACCGTTCTGCCTTGGCTCCAGTGCAGTGAAACATTGCAGTCGGTTTAGGTGACTTTTAGTGCTCTCCTCTGTGGGTCTGTCGGACTTGGCAGTAGAATTGCAAGCTCGCTTTGTGCAAGAGAGGCTGCTGCAGTCCTGGGCAGGTAGAAATGCACTGTGAGAGCTCCTGTGCCGGTGCTTTGGCTTCTTGTCAGYGCTCAAAAAGTCAAGAGCAGTGGATTGTGTGCTCTTATTGCTTGCAGTACTTTAATCTCTTTTAGGTGAGACTGTCAAAGTCTTCCCTATCAGTTAAGGGATTCTCACTCCTTTTTTGCTCCTTGTGTTTAATGTTGCTTTGCTTTACTCAAAAACTTTCCTATGCCTGTGTGGGGAAAATGCCCCTAAGAGTCTGACTCACTGATATAAAACAAGACTAAAAAAGAACGTTAAGGTTCCTTCTTAATGCTAGTCTACTGCCTGCTTTGGAAACAATGTCCTGCTTTATGATGTCTGGTTTAGTTAGGATCAAGTTTATTCTGTTTCCTTGCTAAGGAATTTTAAAAGAAAAAAGTAGAAAGAAGAAAGCCCGACTCTGAATAGCACAGGTTTGGATTGCACCTGTGGCTCAGCCCAGAAATGTACCTCAGGTTTAGTATAATTTAGTCARAGGCTTCCAGCTCTTTCTTAAACTGCTCCTCCTTGAAGGCCTTGCTGCATAAAACCTCTTATAAAGCATAAGAGGTTAATGAGAAATGTTCTAGTACAGTAAAATTTGAGACAGCAATGGATGTATTTTCATCATGACCTCACTGTCACTGAAAGGGGAAGGCCTCGCTTCCCCTCCTGCTTTGTTCTTACTGCATCCCTTGGGCTGGTCCTGATGTTGGTGTGGCCTCAGGCCAGGCTGATGTAACTCACTCAAATGGCACRAGAGGGGCCAAAACAAAACAGAGGCTTTTTGCCAAGCTGGTGCTGGATCTGTGTCCCTGGAGCTGAGGAGGCTCAGACCTGAGTGAGGGCAACTCAGGGGGCTGGAGGGGACACGCTGTGGTTTGGAACTGTTGGACCAACACTTGCAGGAAAGAGTGGCAGAGTTACTTCTAAACCTATGATGGGAAGATCTGAGTCATCAAAGTCATGCATGGCAGGGGCTGTCTTTGAACTGGGAATTTGCTGGGAAAAGCAAAAACCTTGTCCTTTGGAAGGTGCACAGACAGCCCTTGCTGGGAGCTGCTGGTGGTTGATGATTCTTCAGATGGATTTGTGTCCCCAGTGCTTGAGAAACTCGCCCTGCATGGGCAGCCCTGGAGATTCACCCCCACTGGGAGAGTGGGCTGGGACTGTGGGCATGGAAAACATCAGCAAGTTAAARGTAGGAGCTAACAGGCAGTGCCACTTTAAAATTTCTCATTCTGCTCTGGAGATTATTGGCACAGGCTCCTTCAGTAAATGCAAAGTGGTTGCCATGGAGGACAGGAAATCCCTCGTCTGCACAGAGAAAGAAAACATTGGAAACTGTCCTACTGTAAAGCACAGCTGCCTCTGTGCCGGGAGAGGGGTGCCTGCTTCCACCGAGTGTTTTCCAAAGGTCTCTGGTTTTGTCTGCACATCTTTGCACATATTTGCTCTGTTTCTTAGTGGCTGCTTGTGCGTTTAGGAAGAGCTGGACAAAGGAAGTGGGAGCAGCCGGTTAGGACTAGTTTTAAGTGCCCTGATTAATGTGAGAAGCAGGAGGGATTTTCACTTGGAAGCAGGATACGTAGCAAACTTTCAGTGTGTGGCTCTCCGTTTAATTCTGCAGCTCCTCTCGTTCCCGTTTCCCTCCG